GAGAAGAGATATTAGTTCCTGCTCTTATTGTCTCTAAGCCAAAAGAGTAGCCAGGGTTATGGCTGTGAAGGGCTCTCTTTTTCTTTTAAAAATTAGGTTGGTGACTTTTTGCCCTATTATGCTCTCATACATTGTCTCTTCAGTGTGCTATATTATTTTTGGGAACACTAACACTATTATACAGTAATTTTTAGACCCATGTAAGGTTATGGGGTTGGTGGGGGTTTAGGGCAGTAAGTACAGCTGTAGGTCTCTATTCTAAAAATACTGGACCAAAAACACAACATTCCCAAAACACAATAACCAACCCCCCCACCGAGACCCATCCATGTTTGTCACTCAGTCAATCTTTAGATGCCACAACCCCAGTCCAAGTCTGTGTCAGCGGTCCTGGGCTGTCGCCGCCACTTGGGTCAGTCTGATCTTTAGAGGATTCTTTGGGTCTGCAGTTGCTTTTCATTGGTCCTGGCACCGCTCTTGGTCTTTTTTATTAGCAGGTCTCACGTGGGAGTGGTGTATCTAGGTCACTACTATTTTATCGACTTTAAGAGAAGTGGGGGTAATAAGAATAATTTGATAGGGGCCCTTCCACCTTGGCTCGAGGGTTCTGCTGTTATGCCGTTTCGCCCACACCCAGTCCCCTGGCTGGTGTGGGTGAAACGGGTATTTAGCACCCTTCTCCTCAGGCAGGTAGATAGCACGGAGGGCAGGCCATACTTGACTGTGGACACATTGCAGAGCCTGCACCGCTTGCAACACTTTGGGATGTCCCGGAAGAGCCTCAGGGCTCACCCTAGGAACTACAGGAGGGGGTGTGCCGTACATGATTTCAAAAGGGGCTAAACCCAAGTGATATGGGGTGTTCCAGGCTCGGAACAGGGCGAAGGGAAGGAGGGTCACCCAGTCTCTGCCAGTCTCTAGGGCCAATTTAGTCAGGGTCTCTTTTATTGTTCTATTTATTCGCTCTACCTACCCAGAGCTCTGGGGATTATATGCACAATGTAATTTCCAATCTATCCCCATAGCCTGGGCCAGCCCTTGACTAACCTGACTGACAAACGCAGGTCTATTATTTGATCTTATCCCTTCTAGCAGTGCATACCTGGGGACTATTTTTTTTAATATTTTTTTAGCTACTGTCAAAGCTGTTTTTCTTTTTGTAGGGAAGGCTTTTACCCATCTGGAAAACGTATCTACCATGACCAGTAAATATTAGTACCCCTATTTTCTAGGCTTGACCTCTGTGAAATCTACTTTCTAAAATAGTCCTGGCTACCTCCCCCTTTCCCTCATACCTGCGTGGGTCCCTCTGGTCCTCCCCGGCTGCATGACCTGACAGGCTCGGCAACTTTTGACGATGTCATCTGGAACCCGTCTTTGTGACTTGAACCTTAGTTGAGCAGTGTCCAGCAGTTGCAGCATCTTTTTCTTTCCTAGATGTGTGGTCTGATGCAGGTGCTTTAACAGGTGGCGTCTTAAGAGTTCTGGCACTATTAGGCGATGCCCTTTGTCCCGCAACCAGCCATTTTCACGTAGCTGCTCTGAGGCCCAGACCTCATCTACACTGGAATAGTCTGGCAGAGGAGGCAACCGTCCCATGCCTGGGGGTGGCAGGCTAAGGTGCAGGATGTTTGGCTGCGGAGTGTCTTCTGCAGCCTTCTTAGCTTCAGCGTCCGCTCTGCGATTGCCCTGTGCTTCTACTGAATCCCCGCTCTGGTGTCCTGGGGTATGGACTACCGCCACTGCCTTTGGCAGCAAAACAGCCTCTAGTAGGTGGAGTGTTTCAGGCATGTGCTTAATTTCCTTTCCCTCTGCCGTGATGAAGCCCCTTTCCCTGTAGAGGGCCCTATGTATGTGCACAGTCCCAAAGGCATAGCGGCTGTCAGTGTACACCGTCAGCCTTTTTCTTCGGGCCTGGCTAAGAGCCTCTGTCAGCGCTATTAGTTCTGCCTTCTGAGCAGATGTCCCTTGCGGAAAGTGTGCCGCCCAGACAAGTTTACCTTGGTCGTCTACTATGGCCGCCCCTGCGTACCTGCGTCCGTCCCGGATGAAACTGCTTCTGTCCGTGACCAGGTCAGGTCGCTACCTGGAAGGGGGCGATCCTTCAAGTCTCTACGGGTCGTCTGGGTCTCGGCTAGGATGTCAAGGCAATCACGTTTAGGTGCGGCTGCAGCGGGGGTTGGCAGAAGCGTGGCCGGATTCAAGGCGGCAGGGGCCCGGAACTCGATGCGGGGTGCGTCCAGCAAAAGCCCTTGGTAATGAGTCAGCCTCGCATTTGTGATCCGTGCCACTGTTGTGCAACATGTAGAGCCTACTGGCAATTTCCGCCGACCCTAAACTCCCGCGGCCACCGCATGTGGTCGCCGCGCCATAAAAACCCTAAGCTTGGAGAGCCTTCGGAGGCGGCAGCCTCCCCAGTCTTGCGTGATGCTGTTTAGCCGCTGCGCGCGCATGGGAAATAAATCCTCTTGCTTTCTGGCATCAGCTCTGGACTCTGCGCCCTTGGTATTGAGCGTTTTGGCGGGTCGTTCTCTGCGTGCTCCCAAAGCGGCTGTACCTTTTCTACGGCCAAGGCATGGTGCCGTTCAAAGAGCAGGCTGGAGGACACCCCGGCGTTGAGGGCCGTAGGTGAGTGTCAGTTTTAAAGTTGGGGAGAGGAGGATCGGCGGGGAGAGGAGAGGCGTCGGAGCAAGATGAGGGTCTTGGCGCCAGGAAAAACTGTCGGCCCTGTGAGGAGCGCTCCAGGGATTAGGGGATGAGGTGACAAGTGGCCTCTGGACTCGACTCGCATTGTCTGTGCCTGCAAGGAGACGCCAGACTGGTAAGGTATGGTCCTTTGTCTGTGTTTGGTGCAGAAGCAGTGGCTTCGGTGTTTGTCTACTGTCGGTGTGTTGTTGCCCGTTTCTCTTTAATTGGCTCATCCAGGGAATTATGGGCCAAGGGGAAGGTGTCCTGTGCGCGCCTCACGCCTGGCAACATAGGAAGGACAGTACGGGAGACCGGGCCCGGCCTGTCCGTCAGTCATCGCCGGAAGGGCCCTGGCAGAGCGTTTTGTGCTCTGAGTGGCCGTCCTTGCGGCGTGGGGTTGGCCCTCAGATGAAGGTTGTGCACTTTCTGTTGATTTCTGCAGTGAAAAAGAAAAAATCTGTTGCACCGCACCCCAAGGGAACCTGGATTCAAACGGCCTCACCTATATCATGTCTAGGCAGGACCGGACCCAGAAACCGTCGTGTCTTGGGTAAAGATGCCGGATTGCCGTCGCCTTTCTCTCGCCTAGTGGCCCCAGATGGCTCCATCAGAATCCCAGCGTCGGGGACGCCTACCCGAACTGATCCCAAGCAGAATCCCGTCCTCACTGGAATCTCCCACCGTGGTAGTGGCAGTCGAAGGCGCAGCAGCCGGCCAGGGGCGGGGACGCCAGCCACGGCGCCGCCTATGGTTGAGGGTCCGGGCCCAGGCACTAGGAGTAGCGGAGAGGGTTGTCTTCGAATTCCATTGTCTCCGTGCCCTTACCGGCCCGTGCCAGTTCCCAGCTCTGGGCCAGGTCGGAATGAGCAAGCACAGCGTCGGCACCGGCGCAGTCCTCAGATAATTGGCCTTTTTCACACTAAGTCTCGATATTGAAAAGTCTCCAGAAACTCAACTTCTCCCAATCGGGGAACGCCTAATTAATGTTTTAGACTCTGTTGCTTTTTTCATCATGCGCAGGCCGACGCTTGAGGAATGACTGCCAAACAGCTTGCTTTAAGGTGTTTCACAACGGAGAAGAGAAAGAGGTCAAGGGGAGGGCGCAGAAGCTGGTTACGGGGCGAGGCGGCAGGATCTGTACAGCAAGCCCGGCCAGACCAGTTCGACCCGAAACTTTTCACTGAAGCGGCGCTTTGGACTGCAATGACGGCTGAAACGGTAAGGAGCGGGTGCGGGTGGATTAGCCGCAGGGGACTCTGGATGGCGGTCTCCGGTTATGGCGGCACTGAAGCCGACCAAGTGGCGAAGGTAGGGAGGTTGTCACGGGCCAGAGAGCCTGGCCATTACTTGTAGAGAGGATCGATGGAGGCCTTCGCTGAGTTCACCCCATAGATCCCACTATGAAAGAGCAAGGCAGGTGTATGTGGCGTTGGTCGAATCAGGGCCGCGCACAGTAGGCGCACGCAGGTGCAGAATAGATGAAAATTGGCCGAGAAGACTCTGCCTTAGGACCTGTAGGACAGTGGGGGGAGGTGTGTTAAGCAATTAGGAGAACGCATAGAAGAGTTACGAGAGGAGTGAGTAGAGAAATTTGTGATTCCCAAATGCGAAAAGACAGAAGTTAACAGAGGAGATGGCTAACGTCCGCTAGTGCCACAATTGAGGGGGGCAAATAGTGTCCAGAGGATGGAAACGCGAAGGAGA